CCCAAATTGACAGCCTTCTTCTGCTTTCCTGTCTGGAGTAAGTGTGAGAACTAGAAACAGGTAACATGATCTCTATTTGCAGATAATGTAATTGTATAAAGGGAAACCCTAATGTAAAAATATAAAATTAAGAAATCATTCTTAATTGTACAACCAAAATTAACAGAATTAATTAAAGTAGCAATATAAAAAACTAACAAATAAAAATCAATAATGTTTATATATCCAAAGAATAACACTAGAGGCTATCAAGGGAGGGTAAATCACATCTGTAGTTACAATAGAAAATTCTTAAAACCTAGGAATAAGTTTAAAATATTCATTCTTTAAACATGCAAAAGTAGACTTGAACAAATGAAAGGCATACCTTTGTTCATGGGTAAGGCAACTCTACATAATATTTATGTAAATTCTTCCCAAGTTAAGAAAAAATTTAATGTAATTTCATTAAGAATATTGAGATTCTTCTCTTAAAATAGACTCTTGATTCTTTTGGGATCAGGAAAAGGTAGAAAAATCCCATAAAGAAGAGCAATGAGAGGAACTAGCCCTGTATGATACTAAAACATTTTATTGTTGCCCTGTAAATTAAAAAAAGCATGTTCACTGATACATAACTAGATATACAGAATGACAGACTAGAATAAAAAATTTAACAGTTATATGGGAAAAGTGATGCTTAAATCACTGGTGAAAATATACTGTTTTTAATACACGTTTTTGGCATAACTAGATAGCCATTTGGGAAAAGTAAAATTGAATCCATACTTCACCCTGGATACCAGAATGAAATCCAAATAATCCAGATATCTAAATGTAAAAAATAAAACTTCAAAAGAAAACAAAGATTCATTTCTTTATAAACTGGAAGTGAGAAAAACCTTTCCAACTATGATTATCAATCCAGAAGCATCAAAGAAAATACTAAAACACTGACAGACTTGACTCCATAAAAATAAACTTTTTCAAAGCAAAGGGGGGAAAAAAGCAAAAGCCACTAATCAAACTAAAATCCAGAAGAAAATATTTGCAATTTATATCACAAAATTAAATTACAATCACTTAAGCGATAAAGAGCTCTTAAAAACTGGAAAGAGAAAGACCAAATACCATTGAGGAAAGATATAAATAGAATTTAAAGAAAAAGCTGATGTCCTTCAACTTACAAAAAAGAGCTTCATTCATACAAAGAGAAAGGCATATTAAAATTACTGACACATACTATTTCTCACCTTTTGAGATAGTCTAAAATACAAAAATCTGAAGAACTGTGATGGCAAATAATAATGAAACAGGCACCCTTAGGCAATGCTAGTGGGAGTGCAAAATGGTACAATTTTCTATGGAAGGGAATTTAGCAATGTCTAACTACATTGCCTTTGCCTTTATCATTTGACTCAGCAGTTCCACTGAAGGTACACTTCCCCGAATATGAAATACTAATGATCATTTCTTGTGTGGGAGTTCAGGGCAGGCCACCCCAAAGTATGCTACTTTGACACATTGATTGTTTTGAAGTCAAATTGAGAAACAGCCAGTGCAAGAAGGACATTCTGACCCTGCCCTCTTCCCCCTGAAATCAGGAAATAGATCTCCGATTCAAAAGGCAGCCTCTGAGCACCAGGGCATGGGACATCTTCATGTCCAGGGATAGAAAATTCAAGACCAGACGATTCCGTTTCTTCACTCATCAGTACCCAAGCCTGAGTGTCTTTGTCAGTTCTTCACAGAGAAATTTATTGTTTCTTTGTCTAAACAATATAAAAGCTGCCTGCTTTAGTCATTTCTTTGAGTCTTAGTGAACTCCCATATGTATGGAGTTAAAATTTGACCATTTTCTGTTAATCTGTCTCATGTCAATTTAATTATTAGACTACAAGAAGAACCTAGAAAGTCAGAGGAAAAAAATTTCTTCCCCAACACTGTAATTGCAAAAGATTGGACATAACCTATCCTCACTTTGTCAATAGATGATTGAAAGTGAAAGTGTAGTTCCTCAGTTGTGCCCAGCTCTTTGCAACCCCATGGACTGTACCCTGTCAGGCTCCTCTGTCCATGGGATTCTCCAGACAAGAATACTGGAGTGAGTTGCCATTCTCTTCCCCAGGGTATCTTCCCAACCCAGGGATCAAACCCAGGTCTCCTGCATTGAAGGCAGATTCTTTACTGTCTGAGCCGCCAGGGAAGCCAGACAGATGACTGACTGAGTAAAATAAAAGCATCGTGGTGGTTTTCAGTCACTAAGTCATGTCCGACTCTTTGTGACCCCATGCTCAAATTCATTTCCATTGAGTAGGTGATGCTATCTAACCATCTCTTCCTCTGCCACCCCCTTCTCATTTTGCCTTCAATCTTTTCTAGAATAAGAGTATTATGCATTCATTTTTTAAAATGAGGAAGATTTCTGTGAACTTACTTCAAGGAGTTACAGAATCGGTTCAGTCAATTCAGTCACTCAGTCGTGTCCGACTCTTTGCCACCCCATGGACTGCAGCACACCAGTCCATCAGCACTTCCCTGTCCATCACCAAGTCCCAGAGCTTACTCAAACTCATGTCCATTGAGTTGGTGATGCCATCCAACTATCTCATCCTCTGTCATCCGCTTCTCCTGCCTTCAGTCTTTCCCAGCATCAGGGTCTTTTCCAATCCAAGAGACTATCAAGAGTCTTCTCCAACACCACAGTTTAAAAGCACTCAATTCTTTGGCGCTCAGTTTTCTTTATAGAGTTACAGGATATATTAAGTTAAAAAGTGTAAGGTATAGAGTATTATATATGTGCTATGAATTAAATTGTGTCCTCTAAAGAGATATGCTGAAGTCCTAATTCCCAGTACCTCTGAATGCGACCTTATTTAGAAACCAGGTTTTTGCAAATGTAATCAAGTTAACATCAGGTCATATGGGATTAGAAAGAACCCTAATCCAATGACTGCCGCCCTTATCAGAAGAGGGAAGTTTGGACACAGAGACACACACACACACAGGTGGGAAGGCCATGCAAGCATACAGGTGAAGACTGGAGTAGTGTTTCCACAAGCCAAGAATAACACTTCAGGTGACCAGAGACGCTAGGAGAGAGGCACGGAACAGACTAACCCACTCTGAGTAGGGAGGAACTGAGGCACCAGGATCACAGCCTGGCTGAGATGGTGGAGGAGATCATGAAGATTCTTAATCGTTTTGTTTTGGGGAATTTTGCATCCTAACGAAACAGGAAAAATCTTAAAGCAGGTATTTTAGAGTATGCAGTGGCCTCACCATTGTCAACTCTAACCATCAGTTCTGTTTTCATGTCACTCAGCCTCTGGGCAGCAGACCACAGTTGGATCATTCTCTCCTTCTTGAAATACTTCCTTCCATAGGATTGCGGACCTCCCCACCTTACAGACCTCTCCCACTGTCCGTGTCATCTGTGTTGGAGAGCTCTAGGCCTCACTTTCCAGACTTCAGTTTGTACTCTTCCTGAGTGGTCTCGTTTGGTCTTTTAAAATATTTTCTACATGGAGATGAAGACCAAATTCACATCTTTAGCTCCAGTCTTTGTCCAGGGTTCCAGAAGCATTTATTCATCTGCCTGTTTAACATTTCTACCCAGATGGTCTCTGGAGTCAGGCCACCCAAGCTTGTATTCCAGTTCCCACCTGTACGATCTTGTTACTTAACTATATCCATGAGATGAAAATGATAATAGTGCCTACTTCTCTAGATTATTTAGAACAGCGCTGGCACAAAGTAAATGTTCAGTAAATACGCTGTTTACTTGTTTGAAGTCACTGCTAGAAGTTTGGGAAGGAGGAACCTTGTGTGTTCACCTGATTCAACAGTTAGTTTTCCAGGGCTGGCAGCTGGATATTGATTGAATGAATGATTTGATGAATGGATGAATCCATTACTTTAAAGGGAGAAAATGCAAGGCATTCACCAGCTAGCTGAATTGCAAATGGTTGCCCACACCTTGACTGGAGAAGTCATCTCTGCCTTTTTCCCCACCTTCCCAACACTGTATCTTTGGAATTTCTCTTCTCTTTAGCCAAGTCCTTGGAGTAGGTCATTCCTGCTTCTGTTATCTGAAGGTGTGGGGCATGCTCTGTTTTGTTTGTCTGAAAATGTGAAATACCATTTATTGTTCAGGCTCATCAATTATGTTTTTTCATTTATACTCAGTTTCACCGGAACTTAGTAGAAACCTAGAAAAAGTTCTTTTATGTAAAATATCTATCTTTGTTTTTTTGTGAAGTTGCTCAGTCGTATCCAACTGCGATCCTGTGGACTGTAGCCTACCAGGCTTCTCTGTCCATGGAATTTTCCAGGCAAGAGTGGGTTTCCTTCTCCAGGGGAATCTTCCAGACCCAGGGGTCGAACCCAGGTCTCCCACATTGCAGGCAGACGCTTTACCGTCCGAATCACCAGGGAAGCCCAAAGCACCTATATCTATGAATATATAGATACCTATATATATAACATATATATGACGTGAATAAATTTAAGTATGACAGTGAAAGTCAATTTTCCTGGCAGTTAGGGAACCGGGGTCGGGGAGAAAAACTTTTGCCAAGTAAGAGTAGACACAAGGAAGGTGATATCAATACCACCCCGCCATACAGCCCCGCCCAGCCCAGCCCCCGCCGCCGCGCCCACCCCGCGCTGCGACCCCGCCCCGCCGCGCCCCGCACTCCGGCCCCCGCCCCGGCCCCCGCTCCGCGTTCTGGCCCCACCCGTGCCGTGCCCTCCGGCTCCGGCCCCGCCCCCGCCTCCGGCCCCGCCCCCGCCCCGCGCTTCAGCCCCACCTCGGCCCCGCCCCGCGCCCCGGCCCCGCCCTGGTTCCGACCCCGCCCCGCCTCGCCCCGCGGCCCGGCTCCGCCCCGCATCTCCGCCGCGCTCGGCATCCCGGTTGAGGATCCCCGCCGCCCGGGCAGAACCCGGATCTCCACACGCCCGAAGCTCTCCACCCCAGGCGCGGGTGGCCGCCGTTGGAGCGCGCAGCGCGGCGTGAAAAGATGGCCGCCCTGACGACGGTCGTGGTGGCGGCGGCGGCCACCGCCGTAGCCGGGGCTGTGGCGGGGGCGGGCGCGGCCCCGGGAACCGGCGTGGGAGCCGCGGCGCCGCAACAGGTAAATAAATGGAGGAGGCAGAGGTGGGCCTGCGGGGGCTGCGGGCGCCGGAGGCGCGGGACGGGTCCCCGGCTGAACAGGTGTGCCCTGCAGCGCGGCCGGGAGGCGGGAGCCGCGGCCGTGGCCTCCCTTCGCGCGGGGCCTGGCGCTTGCCAGCTTTGTGCTTTGTTGGCTCCTGCATTTTTAACTGCTGTTACGGAGCCCCCTCCCTGGTGGTTTGGGAGTGGAAGAAGGTCTGGGTGGAAACCCTGGCTCTGCCTCCGTGATAGGAACACACTTAACCTCTCGTGACTCCGTTTCTTCTCTCAGCGTTGGCTCTGATGATACGCACCTTCCTGAGCCGTGCGCCTTGCCTGGGAAGCCCCTGGCACAGTGCTTGGTTAGAGAGTCAGTGCCCAGTGACTGTTATTGTGTCAGCGCCGGGAACACGAGGAGGAGTCAAACTGGGAAGGTCTCCGAGGCAGATGTGTTTCCAAAGATCTCCTTGGGACCCCTTTCTCTGCAGTAAGGACCAGGGGATTCCCGGAGGAGAATCGTTGGAGCCAGCAGCTCTGTCAAAGATCTCGACTCCTCCGCATTCTCTCACAGCCCACACCCAAAGCACAGGCAATTCCTGTCTGCTCTACCATCAGAATAAGTCAAGAATCCCACTTAAAGCATCACTACCCATGTCCACACCATCATTTCTCCCTTAGCAGAAACACTTTGCTAGTTGGTTTATGTTCACCCACCCTTGCCTTCCTGACATATTCACAACAGCCAGACCATTCAGGAATGACACTTGTCTGCCCAGATCCCTCAGAGTAAAAGCAAACGTTTTCACCATGTCCCACACCTTCCTTAGTCTGTACAGGGCCTCTGAGCTGTCCCCAAGATCGCTCCCGTCGCCTCATCGCCAGTCCCCTGCTCCGGATCTGCTGCAGCCATACCGACTTCCTGTAGTCCTTCAGACAGGCGAGCACACTCCTGCCTCAGGAGCTTTGCAGTCGCTGTTCCCTCTGCTTGGAATGCCCTTCCTTCCTGGTCTCCTGGCCAGCGCCATCTCCACCTGCAGATATCTCTGTTCAAATGCAGTCAGCTCAGTGATCCTTTCCTCGACCTCACCAAACTGAATCCCCTTACTTAGCACACCGTTCTCTTCTTAGGTTTTTTCTATAGCACTTATCCTTTAATATACTACATATTTTATATTCATTTTTTTGTGTTGTCTTTCTCCACTCCATCTAGGAATGTAAACCCTGCCCTCTATGAGGGAAGAAACTTCTGGAAATTTTATTCACTGTTAATCCCCAGCGCCAAAAACTGTGCTGCTTTAGTCCAGAAACATAGTAGACACTCCCTAAATATTTGTGGATTAGTCCAAACCTGAAGGAAGGCTGTTAGGAGCTGAGGACAGCTTCCATCATTTTCTCCCTTTAAGGAGCTTCCTCTAAGGAGCGTCTTTATGTATTTCCAGAAATTCCACCTCATCCTGGTTTGCATTTCTCACAAGTTGCTTAATATTGTTACTGACTCACACTCTTGCCCACTACAGTGGTTCTCAGAGGTCTGCCTTCCTCAGTGTTGGACCAGAATCACCTATGGCGCTGTTTCAACTGTTCCATCAGTCCTTCACATTTAGCAATGGCTGGAGACATCTGGGTTGTCACAACTGCAGGTGGACTGTGGAGGAGGTTGTGGTGTTACTAGCGTCTAGTCTGTACAGGCTGAGGGACAGCCCCCCACAACAAAAAGTTCCCTGGTTCAAAATGTCAGTAGGGCTGAGGTTGAGACACCCAATTTTATACGCTCTCACCAGTTTAGAGAAGGCAGAGCCTCATGGTTGACTGTCATGGCAGTAGCGAGGTAGAATTTCTCAAGGGTGTTTGGGTTTTAAAAAAGAGTCTCTAGCATATTGTGACTTTTGAGGAGTTTATGTCTTATCCCTCTTTGTAATCCCAATAACATACCATATATATATATATATATGCACACATGTACATGTACAAACACATGCACATTATAGACTCAGATTCTGGAGCCCAGCACTGGGCTTCAATACTTGTCATAGGATTTCGTGAATGACCCTGACAGTGAAACCAGCTAACGTTTTCCTGAGAAGAGATCATTTTCCTTGTGACAGCCTCATGATATTAGCGATATCTGTCAAAATATCTAAGGTTCCTAGATTAGCCTGCCCGGGCTTCCGTAACAAAATACCACAGACTGAGTGATTTAGATTACAGAAATATATATATATATTTTACACTTTGGGAAGCTGAAAAGATCCAGCCGAGATCTTGTCCAAGATGAGGGAGCTGTCGGGCTTGGTTTTTGGCTTGTAGACAGTTGGCGTCTTGCTGTGTCCTCACATGGCCTTTCGTCTGTGCACGTGCAGAGAGAGAGTTCTCTGGTGTTCCTCTTCTTACAAGGACACCAGTCCTGATGGATTAGGACCCTATCCTTATGAGCTTATTTAACCTTAATTACTTCCTTAAAGGCACCACCTCCAAATCTAGGGCCTCCACATGTGAATTTAGGGAGTGGTAATTCAGTCTATAACATACTCTTAAATTATTTTGGAACAATTATCTTTGAAGTTTTAGAATTATTTATATTGTATTTTATTTTATTTTACAGCCTCCATAGAGTGTGAAATCTTCTCATTCATCATTAGGAAAAATAATAATGTGCCCTATCTATGTATTTTAATGTTTGTATGTTATTTGTTCATAATTCCTCTCAGCCATTGCCTTTCAAGGCCAAAGACTACACATTTCTTGATTCCCCTCTTAGATGCCATTTCCCTCTTGGCCTTTTCAACACGTTGGATTATGACTGTTTGGAGTCTCCCTAGCTGTATCACACAAGTGTATGTCCTGGTTTGTTCCAGAGCAGGGCTGTGTCCTCTCTTTGAGTCTGGTGAGCTCTCTGTGATGACCTGCATTTAATGGTGTTTGGCTGACTGGAGTGGTCCTTCAGTAATAACCACACTACTTTTCTGACTTTACATAGTTACTCAAAATGGATTTCCTCTAGGAAATCACACAAATGAATACGGCTGTGTATATATCCAGATGTGGCAGAGTGAAGAATTCCCCGCCCCCACCTTTTCTTTGGTCTTCTTCTGACATTTCCTTTAATGTTGTTATGCAGCAAACACAAATAATACATAATAAACACAAATAGGGGAGGGGGAATCCTTTGTTATTAATGTATTTTTACAAGCAAGCCTGTCCCAGACAGCTGCTTGGACAATCCTTCTCCTCTACCCCATGTCAGTCATTCATTTCCATCTGCCTCAGACACAGTGGATTTTAAGTCAGTGTGCATCCTCACGGTATCACCATGTTCCCTCAAGGATAGTCACAGCCTAACCCCCAGCACCTGTGAACGTGTGACCTCATGTAATAAAGGGAACTTTGCAAATGTGATTAAGTTGAGGCTCTTCAGGTGGGGAGTTTATGCGGGATTGTCTGGGTGGGCCAGTGTATTCACAAGAGTCCTTGTTAAGAGGGAAGCAGGAGGCTTAGGACCAAGAGGGGATGTAACAATGGAAGCAAGAGGGTAATGTGATGTGAGGAGGGGGCCATGAGCCAAGGAATGAAGGTGGCCACTAAAAGCTTAAGAAAGGTAAGGGAGTAAATTCTCTGGATCTTCAGAAAGAATGCCATCTTTTCAACACCTTAATTTTAGACTTGACCTCCAAAACAGTAAAAGAATAAATTTGTGTTGTTTAAGTCTCTTAAATTTGTGGTAAACTAATTTTTTTGGTAAGTTTGTTATAGTAGTGATAGGAAATGAATACAGCCAGAGAAAGCCTAAGATGGCCTGAGCTCTCATCTTTGGCTGACCTTGAAACTGTGCAACAGCAAGTGAAGGCTAAAGTGGAGTTGTAAACTGCTTGCCCCAGTACTGATACCATGCTCCAGCTTGCACACAGACCCCCTCAGCAAAGTGTGGGGACTTACAGGTTCAAGACATGGAAGAAAACCTTTGACCAACCAATCATTCACTGACAACTAAGCTAACAAAGCAGAGATTTCAGTGCTACCCAAAGAATCCAGAGTTTACCGAATTAGTTCAGAAAAATGACTGAAAAAAACCCAGCAACAACAGCAGACCTTAGAAAGAGGAAAAATAATCTCATTTTTAGTGTTGCCACATTAGGTATTATTTAAAGTGTTGAGTTGCTGACAAATTATGAGATATGCAAAGAAATAAGAAAATATGGTCCACACACAGAAGAATTAAAAAAAAAGAATAGTAAAAAGAAACTGTCCCTTAAGATGACCAAATGTTGGACATAATAGACAAAGATTTTAAATTATTGATTTAAACATGTTCAAAAAGCTAAAGAAAACCATTTCTAAACAAATAAAACAGTATGAGAATGGTATCTCACCAAATAGAAAATATCTATAAAGAGACTGGAAAAGGTGAGTTTTCATTCCAATCCCAAAGGCAATGCCAAAGCATGCTCAAACTACCACACAATTGCACTCATCTCACATGCTAGCAAAGTAATGCTCAAAATTTTCCAAGCCAGGCTTCAACAGTATGTGAACCGTGAACTTCCAGATGTTCAAGCTAGTTTTAGAAGAATGCAGAGAAACCAGAGATCAGATTGCCAACATCCGCTGGATCATCAAAAAAGCAAGAGAGTTCCAGAAAAACATCTATTTCTGTTTTGATTGACTATGCCAAAGCCTTTGACTGTGTGGATCACAACACACAGTGGAAAATTCTTAAAGAGATACGTATACCAGACTACCTGACCTGCCTCCTGAGAAATTTGTATGCAGGTCAAGAAGCAACAATAAGAACTGGACATGGAACAACAGACTGGTTCCAGATCGGGAAAGGAGTACATCAAGGATGTATATTGTCACCCTACTTATTTAACTTACATGCAGAGTACATCATGAGAAATGCCAGGGTGGATGAAGCACAAGCTGGAATCAAGATTGCTGGGAGAAAGATCAATAACCTCAGATATGCAGATGACACCACCCTTATGGCAGAAAGTGAAGAAGAACTAAAGAGCCTCTTGAAGAAAGTGAAAGAGCGTGAAAAAGTTGGTTTAAGACTCAGCATTCAGAAAACAAAGATCATGGCATCTGGTCCCATCACTTCATTGCAAATAGATGGGGAAACAGTGAGAGACTTTTATTTTGGGGGGCTCCAAAATCACTCCAGGTGGTGACTGCAGCCATGAAATTAAAAGGTGCTAGCTCCTTGGAAGAAAAGCTATGACCAGCCTAGACAGCATATTAAAAAGCAGAGACATTACTTTGCCAACAAAGGTCCATCTAGTCAAAGCTACGGTTTTTCTAGTAGTCATGTGAGAGTGGACTATAAAGAAAGCTGAGTGCCGAAGAATTGATGCTTTTGAACTATGGTGTTGGAGAAGACTCTTTAAGAGTCCCTTGGACAGCAAGGAGATCCAACCAGCCCATCCTAAAGGAAATAAGTCCTGAATATTCATTGGAAGGACTGATGCTGAAGCAGAAACTCCAATACTTTGGCTCCCTGATGCGAAGAAGTGACTCATTTGAAAATACACTAATGCTGGGAAAGATAGAAGGCGGGAGGAGAAGGGAACAACAGAGGATGAGATGATTAGATGACATCACCGACTCAATGGACATGAGTTTGAGTAAACTCAGGGAGTTGGTGATGGACAGGGAAGCCTGGCATGCTGCAGTTCATGGGATTGCCAAGAGTCAGACACGACTGAGCGACTGAACCAAACTGACAAAGAGAGAAGTTATAGGAAAAGAATGGAATAGAAATTTTGGAGTTAAAAAGTACAAAAATGCAAATGAAAAATTCACTAGAGAGACTCAACACTACGTTTGGGCTGGCAGAAGAAGGTAGGTCAATTTAGATTATCCAGAATGAGGAATCTAAAGAAAAAAAGAATGAAGAAAAATGAACAGAGCATTAAAGACCTGTGAAACACCATCAGATGCCACCGCTAATGAGAGACCCAAAAGGAGAGAGAGAGAAAAGCGGGGAAAGAATGTTTGAAGAAATGATTGCTGTAGTATTGATCTACACATTGTTGGAATTTAGTGAACTTCAAGATCCATACCTAGACATGTCATAATCAAACTGTAAGAAAGAGACAAAAAGAAAATTCTGAAAGCACCAACAGAGAAATCAATTCAACACATATTAGTCTTTCTCAATAAGATTAACAACTGATTTCTCAACAGAAACCTTGGACTTCAAAAGTATCGGATAATATGTGTGCATGCTAAATTGCTTCAGTTGTGCCCAACTTTTTGCAACGCTATGGGCTGTAGCCTACCAGGCTCCTTTGTCCATGGGATTCTCCAGGCAAGAATACTGGAGTTGGTTGCTGTGCCCTCTTCCAGGGGATCTTGTGGACCCAGGAATCAAACCTGTGTCTGTGTTTCCTGCATTGGCCGGTGGGTTCTTTACCACTAGCATCTCCTGGGAAGCCCCATGGGATAACAGTCATAGTCAAAATGCTGAAAGAAAAGGACTGTTGACCAAGAATTCTGTGTCCAGTGAAATAATTATCTAAAGTTGAAGGAGGCTACATCAAACTGAAAAGATCCTTCTGCACAGTAAAGGGAATATCAGCAAAATGAAAAGATGACCTACTGAATGGGAGAAAAACATTTGCAAATCATATTTTGATAAGGACATATCTAAAAATATAAAACTGTTAAAACTCAAAAAGACAACCCAGTTTTTACAATTGGAAAAGATATAAGTAGGTATTCCTTCAAAGAACTAGCCAATAAGTGTATGAAAAGATGCTCAGTATCATTAGTCATTATGGGCTGATCAAAACCACTGTGAGATACTATTTCACATCCAGTAGGATGATTATAGTAAAAGAGAAATAGACAGTAAAAAATGTGGGTGAGGATGTGAAGAAACTGGAAATCCCATATCATGCTGAGGGCAATGTCAAATTATATAGTGATGCAGCCACTGTGGAAAACAGTTGGATAGTTCTTCGAAAGTTCAAAACTTCAAAACTTCTGTGCTTCAAAGGATATTATCAGGAAAGTGGAAAGTACTCAGAATTGGGGAAAATATTTGCAGGTCATTTATCTGATAAAGGACTTAGAGGAATGCTTCCACTGTAACAGTAAAAAATAACACAAATGGGAAAGTAAAGAATTACCTGTGATCCAGAAATTCCACTGCTAGAAATACCCAAGAAAATTGAATTCATACTAAAACTTGTACATAAATGTTCTTAGTAACATTATTCATGGTGACCAAATAGTGAAAGTAACCCAATTGTCTGTCAGCTGATGAGTAGATAAACAAAATATGTTAGATTCTTGTGGAATATTACTTAGCCATGAAAAGGAATGAAGTACAGATTCATGGTACAACATGAATGAATCTTTAAAATATTATACTCAGTGAAAGAAGCCAGACACAGAAGGTGGTATATTGTATGATGCTGTTTATATTAGTTGTCCAGAACAGGCAAATCCACAGAATCAGAACATAGATTAATGATTACCAGGAAGTGGGTGGAAAAAGGGTATGGGAAGTGACTGCTTAATGAGGGTGAGCTTTCTTTTGGGTATAATGGAAATATTCAGGTAGTAGATAGTGTTGATGATTGCATGACTTTGTGAATGCAGTAAAAAACACTGAACTGTAAACTTTATGTGCACATTCTATGGTATGTGAAATCTCAATTTTGCAAGTATTAACCTAAAATCATTACTTTATTCTTGCTTGCTTGCTCCTCAAAATTTGAAGGCTTGGTTCCTTTATTATTATTTTTTTTAATCTCTCAGGCTGTCAGCAATTCCTCTTGATTATACCTCCAAGATACATTTAGGCTTTTTACTTTTAGTCTCCGCCACCACTCTGGTAGACCTGAACACCATCATTCTGTGTCTTTGTTGCTGCATCACCTGTCTCATTGGTTCTCCTGCTTCCAGCCTTGCCTCACCTCTTCCTCCACCTCCCCCAATTTATTCTTTAAAAACTAGAAAGATTTTCTTTAAAAATTAAATGTATCATGGCATTCTCCTACTCTAAACCCTTCAGTAAAATCCAGACTCCTGTAGTGACTTAAAATGCTGGTGTGATATGCCACTTGCCTGGCTCTATACCCTCATCTCCTGCAAAGCTCTGCACTTCACTCATCTTAATGTCACAATTTGCTTTGTTTTGCTTGAACCAGCCAAGCTTTTTTCCTGCTGGAGGGCTTTTGGACTTGCTGGTCCCTCTGCCTGGCACACCTTTCCCTGCAGCTTTTGGCCAGGTTGGTTCTGTTCTTCCTCAAACATCATCCCCTCAAATAGGCCTCTGTGGCCATTCTAACTGAAAAGAAAAAAAAAAAAAACAACAACCACCCTTGGCCCCATTATCTTCATCTCAGCACTGTTTATTTCCTTAATAGCACCTACCGTGTTGGTTTTTTAAAAAGTGTATCACTTACTTGCTCTTTTCTTTTTAAGTCTGTTTCCCTCTCTAGATTTTAAGGCAGAGGCCATATTGTCATGGGGACTTTTCCGGTGGCCCTAGTGGTAAAGAACTTGCCTACCAATGCCAGAGACATAGGAAATGTGGGCTCGATTCCTCGATCTTCTGGGTCCAGAAGATCCCCTGGAGGAGGGCATGGAACCCACTCCAGTATTCTTACCTGGAGAATCCCATGCACAGAGCAGCCTGGCGGGCTGTGGTCCCTAGGGTCACAGAGTCAGACACGACTGAAGCAACTTAGCATGCAGCACACACATGTTATCATGGACCACCTTTGTTTCCCTAGTGTCTAGGCCAGCACCTGTCACATCATAAGTGTTCAATGCATATTGGTAAATGAATGAATGAATGAAAGAATTAAGAGATTTTTATAAAAATCCCTGAAGACATTACATTTCTCACTAATTTAGCATTTTAAAACACATGTTCCTTCTTCCACAAGCTGTATTTTTAAAAATTAAATAAGATTGGCCCCAAAATTATCCCCTGAGAAACTCCATTATTGATATTTTATCCCTGAAAAAAGGGCTTCCCTGCTGGCTCAGACAGTAAAGAATCCACCTGCAATACAAGAGACCTGGTTTGATCCCTGGGTTGGGAAGATGCCCTGGAGGAGGCATGGAAAACCACTCTAGTATTCTTGCCTGGAGAATCCCATGGTCAGAGGAGCCTGGGGGGCTACAGTCCATGGGGTCACAGAGTCAGACACGACTGAGCAACTAGGGACAGCACACACTCTGGAAAGAATTTCACGTTCATCTCCCACCATTTTTATTATTGAAGATAAATTTGTTTTTGTTTTCTCTTCAGAATGATGGCTGTCTTGGTACTTCAGGTGGAATTCGTCCTTTTCATCTTCAAAACTGGAAGCAGAAAGTTAGTCGAACTAAGAAAGCAGAATTCATACGTACAGCCGAAAAATTTAAAAATCAGTAAGTATAAGAACATTATCTTCAAGGAACGTTGCTCATCATTTTATTATGAACAATATAAAGTTAATTCTCCTCCACTCTATCTAATCCCATACCAAAGACTAGTCACTAACATTTCAAATGTGAAACAAGGGACCTGTGAGAAGTGTGAAATATACAAATGATAGTAAACTATTTAATATAAAGTTAATTTTAAGTAGAGTTCTTTACATTTTAACTATTTTAAATCAGTGTATATCAAGGAGAATAAAAGATTTCTTTAGATCACATATATCAAGTAACAGATTGAATACATTTTGATAGCAAAGTAAGCACTTGGTAAATATTTTTGAGTGAATAATTTTAATGAAGAGTCCTACTGTACTCTTGAGGTTTTTTTTTTTTATTGGCCTTTTAATTGGTCTCCCTTCCTTGGTCTCTACCTCTTTCAGATTCACCCTGTACATTATGACTAGACAAATTGAGAAGTTGGCATTTATTTTAAGCTTTAGTGTTTATGTATTTTTTAAATAACCAGTGATATTTACTGAAGATTCAGCATTGTTAGTCGCACCATGTGATTTAATAAATACAATGAGTAAAGGTAAAAGAACTAGAGCTCAGAGCAGCCAACCCTCTCCTATAGTTGGAGGCTTTATAAAACACTGCTCTGAATTTATGCAGTGTCAATTTGCTGAAGAACCAAGAGAAAAGAAAGCTTTTGTAAGAAATGATCTCTGGACCAGAATTAGTGGCAGTTATCTGTTTAGAAATTCTACCAGTAAATAGTATACTGTTTGAATTTTAACAAGTTATACCATAGTCCAGGCTTGTGAGACTGAATTCTGACTGTATTGGTTTAATTATTTCATTTTTAATATTCAGAGTTTGATAAACTACAATTTTTTTTTTAATTTATAAAATGCGTTATCTTAGATAGGCTTGGACTCTAGATTAAGATTTCTGGTTTATGTTTTTTTTCTAGATAAGATAATCTACCAGATGATTAATGTACATAAATATAGCAAGCCAGTTAGATTATGCCAGTATCAATAGGTTCCTTGTCTGTGTATGGGTTTCACAACTCTGATTAGGCTTTCTTCATCTGTTATAAGGTTTTGGAAAAACTCCTTGAAAGAGTGTTAGAAAAATCCATTGAAATTGAATCCAACAATTCTCATTGAATATAAAGGGAAGAACACCATTTGTAATATTTTTATTTTCAGAATAGATTATACATTCATATAATTCAATAATCAATTCATATCAAAGGACCCACAGTAGAAGGCTTTGTTTCACCTGTGACCGTATCACCTGTTTCCCTTCTCCCCAAACAACCACTATTTTTAGTTTCTTGGGTATCCTTCCACAGGTATTTTATATGCTTTTTTAAGGACATAAAAATGCATATTCAGATGGTTCCTTTTTTTTTTTTATAAATGGTAGCATACTATATACATTGTTCTGCATCTTGTTTTGTATTTTTAACGAGTATATCCTAGATACCAAAAAATTATTGATTTTGTTCAGGCATGATAATGTTGTTATAATTACACAAATCAAATGCTCACAATCTCTAGAAATGCACACTGACACATGTGGGGTAGAAGAACATAATGTAGTGGGTTTCCTTTAGCGTACTAAAGAAAAAAGGAAGAGGAAGGAGAAGAAAAGGTAGATGGAAGAGAGGAAAAAGACGGGTAAAGTTGTTGAGTTAGAGTGACTTGAGGTATATATCATACGGAACGATATGAGGGGAGTCAGTGTACCATTCTCTAGCATGTCTTAGCATTTTCATATAGAACCTTCGTGGAGGGTGTCTTGGAGACCTTTCCTCATCAGAACATAGGCTGGGCGCCGCGCTGTGTTCTGGTGTGTGCATGTGGCGCCGCTTACTCTGCCCCTTAGTCGTAGACATCAGGCTGCAGAGAACGCTGAGTTACAGTGATAAATGCTTCATCAGCTGGAGCACCCATGGAGGTTCATATCGTTTTGCACATCTGTAAGTGTATCTTTAGGAAAAATTCCTATAAGTAGAAATGCTGGACCAAAGGTATATGAATTTGTGATTGTAATGAATAATTTCTGATTATTCATGATTGTGATGAATAGTGAATAATTTCTAAATTGTCCTTGATAGGCCATTTATGATTTCACCAACAATATACGAGAGGACCCATTTCCCCACAGTTTTATCATCAGAATATATTAAACTTGTGTGTTTTTTCCCCCCCAGTCTAATAGATGTACCATGTTACCATGGTATAGTTTTGATTTTCTTTTCTCATGTTATGAGAGAGGTTGAGCATCTTTTTTTATGTTTGGCAGTTTGTCTCCATGTTTACATTTTGAGTATCTTTATGGGTTAACATAATCAGCAATACGTGAATCGAAAACTTCTAGATGTTCAAGCTGGTTTTAGAAAAGGCAGAGGAACCAGAGATCAAATTGCCAATATCCTCTGGATCATCGAAAAAGCAAGAGAGTTCCAGAAAAACATCTATTTCTGATTTATTGACTACGCCAAAGCCTTTAACTGTGTAGATCACAATAAACTGTGGAAAATTCTGAGAGAGATGGGAATACCAGACTACCTGACCTGCCTCTTGAGAAACCTGTATGCAGGTCAGGAAGCAACAGTTAGAACTGGACATGGAACAATCAACTGGTTCCAAATAGGAAAAGGAGTACATCAGGGCTATATATTGTCACCCTGCTTATTTAACTTATATGCAGAGTACATCATGAGAAACACTGAGCTGGAAGAAGCACAAGCTGGAATCAAGATTCCCGGGAGAAATATGAATAACCTCAGACACGCAGATGACACCACCCTTCTGGCAGAAAGTGAAGAGGAACTGAAAAGCCTCTTGATGAAAGTGAAAGAGGAGAGTGAAAAAGTTGGCTTAAAGCTCAACATTCAGAAAACTAAGATCATGTCATCTGGTCCCATCACCTCATGGGAAATAGATGGGGAGACAGTGGAAACAGTGTCAGACTTTAGTTTTATGGGCTCCAAAATCACTGCAGATGGTGACTGCAGCCATGAAATTAAAAGACGCTTACTCCTTGGAAGGAAAGTTATGACCAACCTAAATAGAATATTAAAAAGCTGAGACATTACTTTGCCAACAAAGGTCTGTCTGGTCAAGGCTATGGTTTTTCCAGTGGTCATGTATGGATGTGAGAGTTGGACTGTGAAGAAAGCTGAGCGCCGAAAAATTGATGCTTTTGAACTGTGGTGTTGGAGAAGACTCTTGAGAGTCCCTTGGACTGCACGGAGATCCAACCATTCCATCCTAAAGGAGATCAGCCCTGGGTTTTCATTGGAAGGACTGATGCTAAAGCTGAAACTCCAATACTTTGGCCACCTGATGTGAAGAATTGACTTATTGGAAAATACCCTGATGCTGGGAGGGATTGGGGGCAGGAGGAGAAGGGGATGACAGAGGATGAGATGGCATGAGTTTGAGTAAACTCCGGGAGTTGGTGATGGACAGGGGGGCCTGGTGTGCTGCAATTCATGGGGTTGCAAAGAGTTGGACACAACTGAGCGACTGAACTGATGGGTTAATATTTCTAATCCAGGAGTAGCAAAACATAACTTACTGTCATAGCGTAGCCTGTATCTGTGATGGGCATTTCTGTTTGATTTTAGTACCTTTCCCCACCCCAGCCAGAGTCGCGATGGGCTGGAGCTCTCAGTGCAGGACCCCAGGAGCTGCCCTCAGTCTGTCAGACTGACCTGCAGACTAAAATCTTTTCGATGTCTCTGTTCTCCCCCTTCCTTCCTCCCAACACAGATTGAAGTTATGACTCCCTCAACCTTGGGGCATCCAGGTAGGGCCTGTGGCATTCTCATATATTTACCTCAGTGTGCCTTATATATTAAATTCTTTTCTTGGTGTGGCAAGTGAAAAAGAATGGGAAACTCTGCCTTAATATAGTTGCCTCTCAGAATAGAGGAAAGGAAATCAGTGACCAGAGATACTCCACCACTCATTAAATTCAGGATTAGTGGAGAAGTAGTTATATTAATTTCCACCTTGTGGGAGAAAGAAAACAGATGTTGAGAAAATAAATTTCTTTGTCCAACCAAAGAAGTTTCTTGATGGTAGATTGTTTTGTTTTACCTCAGGTTCAAGCTAACATCAGAAGTCCTTACTGATAGATGGATTAAGGCCAGGGAGCAAGGATGAGATGAAGGAAGATTTGAAGTAAATGTAGACCATATCCCATAAAAGCACTAAAATCCCTGCCTTCATAGATTGTTTGCCTTTTGAAGCTTCAGTTTTACTAGTATTAATAACTTGCATTTCTATAGTGCATTTTGCTTCCCTGTGGCTCAGATGGTAAAGAATCTGCCTGCAGTGCCAGAGACCCAGGTTCGACCCCTGATTTGGGAAGATTCCCTGGAAAAGGGAATGGTAACCCACTCCAGTATTCTTGCCTGGAGAATTCCATGAACAGAGGGGAGCCTGTCAGGCTATAGTCCATGGGTCACAGAGTTGGACACGACTGAACGACTAGTATACACACACACACAACACTTTCCTAACTACTGTTTTGATTCCATAGCCTTATTGATCCAAGTAATTTTATTTTGAATCCTTCGATGAATTAATACAAAGTACAGATTGTAAGTATATTTATATTTTAAACAATTAAAAATGTACTTAAATCATATTTATGCTGTTTGTTTCTTTCCCTAAAGGGTTATTAATCTAGAAAAAGACAAACACAGTCATTTCTACAACCAAAAAAATGATTTCAGAATTGAACATAGTATGCTGGAAGAATTGGAAAATAAACTGATTAACAGCAGGAAAACAGAAAGTAAGTTGAGTTCATGATGAACAAAACCCATTGAGAGATACATAGTCATAGTTTTGCCCTGTGCCTTGTCCTTGGGCACTGACCGTTACAGTCTCTGTCAAGATGCCGTCTAGTTGGTGTAATGAGTTTCTCTTGTAAGCATATGTATTTATTTTGGGGGGTCACTATTTAGTCTGGATATTTATGATTGTATTGTTTCCTGTGTATATTTCATCTTAATAGGAAAAAGAGGGTTTTGTTTTCTGGTTGTCACATCAGTAATGAAACTACATTATTTTAAAATAAAGGAAGGGTGCCTTAAAGATCTGCACAGGCTGGGCTTGCAGAAGGATCAACACGCCTTTAGCTGGAGATGTACTATAGCCTTCCTTGGAAGAGGAACAGAAAAAACTTAAAAAGACACAGCAGGTTCGAAGTCCAAATTCTTACTTTATGTATGTAAAATGTCCAGGTAGCTACAAATCTGGTTTACAGCCAGATTTACACCGTGGTGTTTGGTGTAGGTTATTCAACTATTGTGCCAGCCAATAGGAGGAAACGCCAGACTCAGAAAGATGTTCATTTAGAAGAAAGCAGTACTAATGAGCCACACAACTTCCTGAATCTGTGTCCTATCACAGAAAGCCTTTTCAGTTCAGCGATTCCAGTTATCTACCAAGATATTGTAATTATGTTTAATTTTCAAGGTTTGCAGCAACGCTCTCGTATTTTGGTGTCAGTTTTTAAATAAAGCTTTGATTATGGGCAACAAATTTAAAAAATAAAGGAAAACTAATTACTGGTGTCTTATCTTAGCTCATCACCAGGATCCTATTGACTGAATCCCACATTCAGTAAGCATCAACAGATTCAGAACCCGTATGACTGTTAAAGTGCTCAAGTCACATAGTTGCTTAAACCTGAGTTTACTTGTCTGTGATATGTTAATAAAACCTGCCATTTCTACCATAGAAGAGCTGTCTGTGCATCTGATGTGATAGTATTGGGTAGGCTCAAAGCTTCGTTTGGGTTTTTCTGTACGATGTTATGGAAAAACCCAAATGAACCTTTTGGCCAACCTAATATATAAGAAAGTGTTAGAGATGGTACACTGAATATGTTCTACTGCTTGTTATGAATATTAATAATTATTAACTATACTAAATGTTGGCCTTAAAAAAGAATTTTACAAGAACACCTTGTTTCCTTGTAGAGTAGATTTTTTTAAACTGCAAAGTCTTTCTTTTATAGTAAAAACACTTCTTAACTTTGATTAAAGGAAAAGTAATGGTTTTCAGGGGCTTCCCAGGTTGGTGCTAGTGGTAAAGAAACCACCTGGCAATACAGGAGACATAAGAGATGTGTCTGATCCCTGGGTCAGAAAGATTCCCCTGGAGGAGGGTATGACAACCCTCTCCAGTATTGCCTGGAGAATTCTGTGGACAGAGGAGCCTGGCAGGTTACTGTCCATAGGGTCGCAAAGAGTCAGGCACAACTGAATCGACTTAGCACAGCACAACAGTGGTTATCAACCAGCTGAACTTTGTAAGATATTGAGACTTATTACATAGAGGTTATACTGCTCATGAGACACCTTTATAATTAATTAAAAGAAATTTTTAGTAAGTTTCTCCTTTCAGAATATAAGATTGCAATATTTTAAAAAGTTATCTTTTGTCAGATGGTGGCAAGAATCATTCTCTCTCTTCTGTTGGAATGATGAGACCTAACATAAATGCCAGATTTCCAGTTGTTCTCTTTGATTTATAGAAGAATCTGAGTATCCCTTGTTTAATATTAATGTTTCTTAATACCCCTTAGTTCTTTTACAGACAAAAAGGCTGATCTTTCTGTCTCTCTATCATGCCATTAAGTAGAGTATCTCCATTCTGTGCATTTTAAGTCACTTGATTTTCTCCCTTTTAAGGCACTTTATTTTTATTTTCTAATTTCCCTTTGTCTACAGTTTTGCTTCTTTTTATTCACACTTTGTGTTTATCTTGGAGAAGAAGGAATGCATTGCATTAGTATAAGGATATAGAAATTTCCCTTTCACATGTTTCAGCTCAAAAGCATTAAATAGCTATACTTTACCTCAAATATTATGTCACATTTTAGCATGCATTTATGTAATGTTGTACTTGAATGCTTTGCCTGTAGTGCAGAATCTCAGTTCCAAATGAATTAATAAAAGATATTTTCCCTATAGTGGTATCATTGTAGCTGTTCAAACTATGGCAAATGTAAAACAACAGAAAACACTTTCCTGATTACTAGGGATGTTTCTTGACCTAAAATTCCAAAAATGAGTAAGTGCCTATAAAATACATTGGGTAAAGTTTCTACTTTTATAGAACTCTGGAATTTTAATAAAAAATGGAAAAAGCCAAAGTCATATATGCATAGTTGGGTTTGTTTTGAATATTAGCACTGGCTTCCAGCCTAAAGATAAACTTTAAAAAAAAATAATTGTTTTTAAAGACTTTTGAACAGAACCTTTTGGTGTTTCATGTTCATTTGTGGAAGAGTTGCAAAAAAAAAAGGGGGGGAGGTGCATAATACCCAAAGATGATGATCAAATATTATTACATGAATGTGTATATAAATATAAATATTTGACTTTATCCTAATAATTTAAGTAAATATTACAGTAAGGTTACTACTTCAGAAGGGAAATATGAAAGAAGAATCCAGTCTTCCTGCTGATGATACAGAACATCTGAAAATGATTTTGAGACCTTTTGTTCCTCAGGCTTTTATTGTGGGCCTAGCATGGCAACCCACTCCAGTATTCTTGCCTGGAAAATCCCATGGTCAGAGGAGCCTGATAGGTTATAGTCCATGGGATCGCAAAGAGTTGGACACGACTAAGCGACTTCACTTTCTTTCTTTTAGCACCTTACTTTAGCCTGGTCCTTTGGCTGTGCTTGGCAGCCTGTAGCATAACAGGAGCAGTGTCAGTCACTGAGACGTGTCCAACTCTTTGCAACCCCACAAACTGTAGCCCACCAGGCTCCTCTGTCCATGGGGATTCTCTAGGCAAGAATACTAGAGTGGGTTGCCATTCCCTTCTCCAGAGGATCTTCCTGACCCAGGGATGGAACCCAGGTTTCCTGCATTGCAGCCAGATTCTTTACCATCTGCGCTACAGGGAAACCTATAGCATGCTGCTGCTGCTGCTAAGTCACTTCAGTCGTGTCCGACTCTCTGTGACTCCAAAGATGGCAGCCCTGCAGGCTCCCCCGTCCCTGGGATTCTCCAGGCAAGAACACTGGAGTGGGTTGCCATTTCCTTCTCCAGTGCATGGAAGTGAAAAGTGAAAGTGAAGTTGCTCAGTCATGTCTGACTCTTAGTGACCTCATGGACTGCAGCCCACCAGGCTCCTCCGTCCATGAGGTTTTCCGGGCAAGCATAGGCACCAGTAAATGGCATCCTGAGACATCTCCTCACAGCCATTACTGTGACACCAGTGGGTGTCCCCAGCCTGTCTTCGATGGTGTGGTCAGATAAAGTAAATTGTCACTGGGCAGTTTGTCGGTATTCATAGCATTAATATTGGCTATACAGTTTTAGTATTCTAACAATAGTTGAGATCAACTCTATGTCCATAAATTATAGCAAAAAGGAAAAAACTGTTACAGAATAAAACATGACTAAAATGATGCTTCTGATCCATGTATGAGTGTCCAATAATTCAGTCTCCAGAGTTAAAAAAATATTCCTAAGGATATTTCCCTGGCACAGGTTATAATAAGACTTAACCTATTGTGCCTTAAAATATTAGACGAAATTAGATGCTTTGTTTAGAGCAAGAGTTGGTTCAGGCTATTTTAACACTCATAAACCATCTTTTGTTCTTTAATTGTTCTTCACGTAATTTACTAGGTGAGGGTGATCAGTCTTGTGTGAAGAATCCTGAGTTGGTAACCACATTTGTCATAGACTTATTTTACAGTATATCCTTCTTCCTTACAGGAGCAAAAATCCAGCAACAATTGGCCAAAATATACAGCAATGTAAAGAAACTTCAGCATCAGTTAAAAGATGCGAAGCCTACACCTGATTGTAAGTAGATTTACATTTTCTATTTTTTCTTATGTATTAGTTTTCTCTATTGTTCATTAGAAAAATATATACTTTTAAAATAAATTTTTCTATTTGGCATTAATGGAGGAACTAAACCCTACTTTTTGTTAGGTATTAATAAGGAAACATAGGAAAACTGTAATATCTGCTGTTTATGTATTTTTTTAATCTTTAAAATACTATCAAACTCTTATAAATTACGAAGTAGAGCAGACGTTAATGTCGTATATAGGAGGAATAGGGCTTCCCAGGTGGCAGTAGTGGTAAAGAACCCGCCTGCCAGTACAAGAGACATAAGAGATACAGGTTCGATCCCTGAGTCGAGAAGATCCCTTGGGGGAGGGCATGGCAGCCCATTCCAGTATTCTTGCCTGGAGCATCCCATGGACAGAAGAGCCTGGTGGGCTAGAATCCCTGGGGTCGCACAGAGTCAGACACAACAGGGACTTAGCTACAGCAGCAGCTTCAGATGAAGAATCTGTGGTATGCAAAGATTCAGGTTCAGCTGATGAAGTGAAAAAGATTCTTGATTCTTTGCTTAGTATTTTCCCATCATTTGCGTTTTGAAATTATTGCCTTTCAGAGGCATTTTAAATGCCTGAGGGAATGGCTAGGTAGTGTTAGGGCAAATTTTAGTCGTTTGTGAAAGACAGAATTGTGTCCTTATTCTTTCCTTACACCAACACTCATTGCTGAGAGAGCAGAGCAGTACAGTAAACCCAAAGCGTACAGTGAAGTGCTCGGGTGTATGGGCTTCAGGTCAGACACACGCTGGGTCAAGTCCTTGAATTGTCAGGTAAGCGGTTTCAGGCAGGTTACTCAGTCTGTTTGAACTTCGACTTACTGAGCTCTGAAGTAGAGAGAATCGTACAGCCTCACTCAAGGCTGCGGGGATGAAGTGAGCCTGCACGTGAGCACGTTGTGCACCGCTTATAGCATAATGAGCACTAAAAATCGTAAGTATCCGAAACCACTAAAAATATTAGAAAAGAACATGGATTAATATTTTTATGATTATATTATAATTTATAAGAATGACAAAAGTCAGAAATCATAAAAAAGTGGACATAATTGACTATTCAAAAATACCTCAAACTTATAAGCAAAGTTGAAATACAAATTAGGATAATAGCAATATATATGTAACTTAGAAAGCTAATATGCATAATGTGTAAAGAGTGTCTACAAATTCGAGCAACAAAGGTAACAGAACAAGAGAATGGGCAAAGATTATAAGTTGCATATTATAGCCAAAGAAACCCAAAACACATATGGAAAAGGGCTCAGGCTTATTAATTATTATAAAAATGTCAGTTAAATCAGTGACAATAAATTTCTGATCATTTTGGAAATGGCTGGAATTACGTGAGAAGGAGCGTGCTCAGGAGCTGAAAAGAGGTCGAGCCTCTTTGAAGGACGGTGTGACAGTGTTTGCATACTGTAAGGTGGGCATGCTTTTTAACTTTAGCACTTAAAGTTATCAGTTATCCTCTGAAAATACTTATTTGAGGGGGGAGGGATAGATCGGGAGTTGGGCATTGACATGTACGTACTGCAAAATAAATAGGCAACAAGGACCTACTGTATAGCACAGGGAACTCTGCTTGATATTATGTAATACCTGAATATGAAAAGAATTTGAAAAAGAATAGATACATGTATATTTGTAACTGAATCACTTTGTTGTACACCTGAAACTAGCACAACAGTGTTAATCGATGATACTCTAATATAAAATAAAAATTAAAAAATAAAATAAAAATATTTATTTGAGCATGCAAAAATATGCAAAGATAGTTCCTACATCATTGCATCTATTTAAAGGTTCATCAGTTGGAGAATTAATGATTCAGGGTAGCATTAGACAATGAAATGCCATGTAGCCGTACAAAGAATGAAGTACCATATATATGTTGATGTAGAAAGTTAATTACAACATATTGTTAAAGAAAAAGTGCAAGTCACAGAAAACATACATGATGTAGAAGCTTTTTGGAAAAAAATAATATTTAAGGTATGTATGCTTAGGAAAAAATCTGTTCAAAAAATCGCAATCATAAAAATTTACTTTTTAAAAGTACATTTTTTTCTTATCCTTTAGGCTGAGAAATGGTTTTTAATTAAGAGAACATTCTAATTTTCTTCCTAATTTTTAATTCTTAGTCATAATAAAATATGACATAATTTTCCCCTTTTTTTTTTTTTACAGTTGTTGAAAAGCTCAGAGAAATGATGGAGGAAATTGAAAATGCAATTAACACTTTTAAGGAAGAGCAGAGGTTGATGTATGTTTTAAACACATTTTAATTTAAAATTATTTACCTTTATTTTTCAATAACTCTTTATTAGATGGTTATATGTAAACTATTTTATTGTTACAAATTTAATACTAGTCTTACACAAAAGCAGTATAATACCTCTCTTTTGCTTTAGGTTTTAGACTGCTTTGCATGTTTAAAGTGAATTTTCATTTATATTTGGAGTCTAAACTCTCAAATAAGAGTTTGAAAGATTGTTCTTTCCTCTGAGGGAACTCTTTGAAGGCTTAGATTTATAGATGTTAATATTGTGAAGTGCAGAAGATATCAAAAGAGTTGGGAATAATAAAATTTGAAGGAAAACAAAGGGTTAATATGGATTGGTTTGTATCTTATTTTTCAAACTTTTATTTTTAAAATTTTAGATATGAAGAGCTTATTAAGGAAGAGAAAACAACTAATAATGAGTTGAGTGCCATATCAAGAAAACTTGACACATGGGCTTTGGGTGATCCAGGAACAGAGAAGGCTTTCAGAGCAGCATCGGCCAAGGTTCCTGCGGACAGAGTCACACCAAGTGCTCTTCCAGAAGCCGTGGCAGAGTTTGAAAGGTTCCTTCAGCTGACAGGAGGGCGCCAGGGGGGCTGGGACGATTATGACCACCAGAACTTTGTGAAGACGAGAAACAAGCATAAAGGGAAGCCAGCGTTCATGGGAGAAGTTCTAGAGCACCTTCCCGGAAGAACGCAGGATGAAGTTCAACAGCATGAGAAATGGTATCAAAATTTTCTGGCCCTAGAAGAAAGAAAAAAAGAGGTAATAAGAATTGTAATAGCTATTATTTACTGTATATATATGTGTTCTAGGACTGTACTACACACTAACGTATATTATTAATTTAGTTCAGCCCTGTGAGATATGTTAACGGTTTCCCCCGTCTCATAGCAGGTGAAACTGAGGCATTGAGAAGTTAAGTCATTTTAGTGGAAGTATAGTTGACATACTCAACATCCAGCATAATCTACTGTGAGAAATAATACAGTGAGTCAGAAAACATCTGACAATGGTCAACATCCTGTGTCCACTGGAAATGGGAAATTCAGATTTAGCCAGGCTTTTGATAAAAGTCATCTTACTAGTGAAGTCCACATAATTTTCAATAGAAAATAAAGGGGGCAGTAGGAAAAAAAGTTGTTTGACTCAAAAGTTTGTAAATAGTTTTGGAACTTTAGTTTCTCTTACTTATTTTAAAAGACTCAAAAGTTTTGGCAACCCCAGAGTAAAGAGTAACTCTTAATTGTAGCAGATACCTAAAAGGTCCCATTTTCACAAAAATATTATTCTGACTCTGGTTGAGATTAGGATTTCTCAACACTGGCATTGTTGACTGTTTGGACTGGGTAATTCTTTACTGTGAGGGCTGTCCTGGGCACTGTAGGATGGTTAGCAGTGCCCTTGACGTCCACACAGTAGATGCTAGTACCACCACCTTAAATATGATGATCAAAAATATCTCCAGACATTACCAGATGTCCTCTGGACAGTAAAAATTGCCCCTGGTCAAGAACCATAGGCTTAGATAGTCCTAAGTTTTGTTTTGTTTTTTTTGTAGACTTGAGCGCAATAAATTTTAATTCAATTGGTTTAACAAGAAAGGTGTGACAGTTCAGCAGGCAACATACCCAAAAAGGAGCATTAGAGAAATACTTGATTCTGCACATAAAGTATTAGAGGAAATAGCTGGTGGTTTCTTGTTGCTATTGTTTCTCTCCAAAATAAGGTCAGTGTTCATAAAGTCGACACTTAAAACTTTAAGAAAAAATTTGAAATATAAGTCATTTTTAAAATCTCAAATTAACAATCTAGTAAGAATTATTTGGACTTCCCTGGTGGCTTAGACGGTAAAGTGTCTGCCTACAATGCAGGAGACCCGGGTTCAATCCCTGGGTTGGGAAGATCTCCTAGAGAAGGAAATGGCAACCTACTCCAGTATTTTTGCCTGGAAAATCCCATAGACGGAAGAACCTGGTAGGCTGCAGTCCATGGGGTCGCAAAGAGTCGGACATGACTGAGTGACTTCACACACAAGAATTATTTGGGATTTTTTTCCAGCGGCCAGCAAAGTCAGCATCACCTGGGAACTTGTTAGAATTTAGCAGGGTCCAACCCCAGACCTAGTCTGAACCCAGGGAGTGGGGCCCCAAAATCTGAGTTTAAATAAAGCCTCTAGGTTATTCTGTTAACAAGCTCAAGTTTCAGAGCCACCTGTCTAGGGTGGAGGAACAGGCACTGTCTCTTAACTGTGCTTCTTGCAATAAAAGTAAACCACCTAGATTCTGGCTTTCTCTTCTTGTTCCCAGCCACTCTGTTTCCTGATCCCTGATGATTGATTGGATGTAGGGGTGATAGAGGAAAGAGTGTGAAAGAGGAGATGTCATTTACTGAAGCAGGACATGTTCGAGGAGAAGTGGGAAGTTTGGGGGTACAACATCAGGAATGCAATTTCGTATTTTGGGGGTTTTTTGGCCACACCCCTCAGCATGCAGGATATTAAGTTCCCTGAGCAGGGACCTAACCCATGCCCCCTGTGGTGAAAGCATGGAGTCTTAGCCACTGGATGGCCAGGCAAGTCCAGGAATGCATTTTAAATCTGTTGAGTTGAGAAGGTTGAGTAGAAAACTTACCATTCTTACCTCCCCCTTCCTTTAATATATCCTATGTTTTGTCTAAATGAACATACTTCTTTTCAGACATTCCATGAACTTTCTGGTCCATGTCCTCTTGCTTATCTTGTTCTCACTTTCTGGAACCGCCTTCTTTCTTACACTCTCCACTGCTAACTTACCTACGTCTGCCCAGATCATATGCTGCTTCCTTTTGCCTACTCACCCCTCAGAATGTCAGTAGCACTTATTTAATATGTCTTGTGTGATGTGCGATAGCACGTTCTAAAATACATTCTAGTATTTAGGCATATGTCTTATCTCACCTAGAGCAGTGCTGGTCAAACTCGGTCCATGGACTAGATGTTAGTTTGCAAACTATTTCTGGTCTTCAATGAGTTATCATGATTATACCAGAATCAACTACCCAGTGACTGTTTTTTCATAGAAAACTTCCTCGTTGAAAGAAGTAGTACGTTGATTTGCGTTCTGGCATGAATTGCTGATATTGTTGTGGACTGGTACTTGGAGTAGCACTGGAATAGATGGCGTTGGTATTGTTTTAATCACCTGTGGTTTCTACTCACATTGTGTTGCATATAGTACACATAGCATAAGGATGTATTTCATGAAAATGAATGATATACCATGAGGAACTTCAGGGGAAAATAATTCAGTTTCCTTTATGGAATAGAAAAGGCTGCTAGAATTTTAAATAATCTTTACATACCCACATGTAAAGATATGAAACTATTTTGCTTTTTTATTTTTATACTTTTGAAGCACTACATGCCGGGCACTGACTCATTTAAACTTCAGAACAACCCTGTTTGAGAAATGCTACCTACTACTTACAAATGAGCAAAACGAGAACAGAGACATGTAACGACTCATCCAAGGTCACATCTAGTAAATGCAAAGCCAGGATTTGGTCCCAGATACCTGGCTTTAGAGCTCATATCCTCACCTACCTCACTTTTAACTCCTTTTCTGAGTTTGACCAGAGATGGGTCACTCAGAAAGGATTCTAAGCCTAGAAAGAGAATTTGGAAGCAGAAGTGAAATGATCAGAGAAAAGGACTGTTTCCCCCTGAATATAAAGGAAGAGATAAAGGGGAAGAGGAGACTTCATGAGGTGCAGTCCTTGTGTACCTGCTGATTCAAAGAGGACGAGAAAGGCCAATGGAATAGCCAGTATTTAGTGTTTTAAAAGATAACGTTAAATTTTTTACAAAGATAAGTAGAAAAAAATTGCACTGATTTAAAAAACCACTTTTCAAACCTAAGCAACTAGCATACTGCAGTCACTATGTAGAAAGAGATATGGATTTGAGGTTGTATTTTAAAATGCTTTTGGCTGGAATTCCCTGGCAGTCCAGTGGTGAGGACTTGGTGCTTTCACTGTCAAGGCCCAGGTTCAGTCACTGGTTGGGGAACTAAGATCCCACATGCTTCACAGTGCAGCCAAATAAAAATAAAACATAAAACGCTTTTGGTTACTAAAATATTTTTTCTTGTTTTCATTGCTTTTTAACCATGTAGTCTATTCAGCATTGGAAAACCAAAAAGCAGCAAAAAATGGAGGAAATTTTCAAATTAAAGGAAAAAGACAGCATACAAGTACTTTCTCATAATAAACAGGAAGATAATAAAAAACAAAAAGAAGAACAAAGAAAGAAGCAAAAATTGGCCATTGAAGCTTGGAAAAAACAGAGAAGTATAGAAATGTCAATGAGAAACGCTTCCCAGCTGAGAGAGGAGGCAGAGAGGGAAAAGCAGCAGCAGCAGAGCGCACGCCAGCGCCAGTGCAAGCTGAAGGTGCTGCTGGAGGCCTATGCCCAGCAGAAGAAAGGGCAGGCAGAGCGCTTGGGACCTGACAAGGAGACACGGGGGAAGACAGACAAGGCAGGAAGAAGGAAGTCTGCTGCTGGCGAAATGTCCCGCTTTCAAGAAAGAGTGAGTGAATACATTTCCTGAGTAATTTTTCAGTGAAACACATGGAGGCGTTACTTCCAGGCTCAATTCAGCGAAAATTAATTGAATGCTGCTTGTGTACCTGTCCTGGACCTCGTATTAGTGCACCGAAATAAGGAGGCTGCGCTCCCTGCTCTCTAGTAGGTTGGAGTCTGGCGGGAACGGCTGGTGTGCAAACGGGACTTCAGCGTGCTATGGTAAACAGCGTGCTGCTGGAGGTGCCGACACACAGGCGTGGGGGTGCATTGCAAGGAGGGAAGGTGCCACAGCTGTGTGTGACGGAAGGTGGTGGTTGAGTCTTGGAAGGGAAGAGAAGGGAAGGGAAGGGAAGGGAGAACTTTCCTAGCAGAGGGAGCAGCATGAATGCGCAGCTTGGAGGAGCCTAACAGAGTAGCTATGGGGGAACTGTAAACACTGCAGTATTCTAGGGGAGATGGAAACCGGCAGGAGCAAGACGGGAAAGGCAGCCGCAGCCCAGGCCCCGAAGGTCTTGCCTGCTCCGCCAGACCGGCTGCTGTTACTCGGTCGCTGGCCTTCTTCCTACCATAGTGTAAGCTCCACGAAGGCAGGGGTTTTGTCCTTTTTGTTCATGCTTTACCCTAGAGTCTAGCACATTATACTCAGTATATACTAAAAGGAATCAAGTTATTGCTGAGAGATAGGATTATAGTGATTTTAAACAGATGTATACAAGAAAAATCCTCATCAAAGAAAGAAGTTGCAGTCTCATCAGATAGGGTGGAATTCAGTCCAAATATATTTAAAAAGATAAGGAAGGGTACTTTAAAATGAAAAAGAGTACAAATGAGAGATAACTTATGAATTGCCTCAAAATATACATGCAAATATGGGCAACACTCATAAAGCAAAAAATAAGGGAAGTACAAAGAAAAATAATAAAAAAAAAAGGCAAAAACACATTACTAATGGTATTTCTTTTATATAAAAATAAAAGTCTCCCTACACAACCAAAGATCCATTCCCCAAAAAGGCAAGCAAGTCACATAATAAAAGACTTAGAAAAAAAGAAAACCCTGTATTATACAGAAAGTATAATGCAGGAGATCTAAAACTAGACATCTCTGTATTGATAACTGAAAATCTTACCCATTAAAAGAAAGGAAGTTTTAGATTGACCCATAAAATAAAACAAGAAACAGTTGAAAGAAAGTGATTCAGAAAGGATGGGCATGTGTTACATTGATATTCAGAGAAAATAAAGCTCTTAGGTTTTCTTTTTTGGAGAAAGTTGATATTACAGGTATATTGCTATTTAAGCAATTAATTTAATTTTAAAAATTAATTTAATTTTACATGCAAGCAACTAAACTTTGAAACAAATTCTAGCTAATTTTACTTCTTAATGTTATCTTTTTGTTGGTATATGTCTTTTAGGATTTACATAAACTTGAATTGAAAATTCTGAATAGACAATTAAAGGAAGATGAGAAGGCAGAAAAACAAAGAAAACTGGCAAAATTAAAAGAAAAGGTACTCTACACTGAGATTAATTTACTTTCATTGTTATTATCATAATTCTTTGATTTGTAAGGATACAAACGTAAAATCCAATTCTCTTTTATCTCCAACTCCTTTATTTCATACTTACTTATTTACCAACTACAAAGCAACTGCTTTAATTCTACCATTTCACATTATAAGCACCTCGGTTTCCTTTACCCTAAATTCCTTCTCTCTTCCTGCTCTTTGTCCTTTTCTTCCTTCTTCCTGTGTGAAAAAAAAGTGAAAGTGTTAATTGCTCATTCATGTGTAACTCTTTGCCACCCCATGGGCTGTGGCCCTCAAGGCTCCTCTGTTCATGGAATTCTCCAGGCAAGAACACTGGAGTGGGTAGCCTTTCCCTTCTCCAGGGGATCTTCCCAACCCAAAGATCGAACCCAGGTCTTCTGCATTGCAGGCGGATTCTTTATCAACTGAGACACCAGAGAAGTCCCCATTCTTCCTATATGAGCCTGTATTTTAGATCTATAGCAGCTATGAGCATTGTTTAATTTCATTGGTGATAGATACTAGTGACTTTCACAGATGAAACAAAGGACTACTTACTGGTGATTATTTATCTTAAGTTTATTGTCTGTCATACTTTGCTGTGTTATATTTCCCTCATGAGAGAAACAGAAAAACAGACAACAGCAGAAGTAGAATAAAGTAACTAGAAAAAATAAATTAACATTTTATTAGTAGATTGATGTAATCCAAATTTTATTTTAGCTGTATGAGCACAATCAGAAGTTTACTGAAGAAGTTATTAACAAGTTTTATTTCTGTCTAGTGAATATCAAATAGTTTTCTTAAACCTGCTTTCTGTTACTAAGGATCTTACAAGTACAAACCAAATAGTTCATATAAATTAACTGGCACTCATTTTACTTCCGATTACAGGTTGAAAACAATGTTAGTAGAGATCCATCTAGACTTTACAAACCTACCAAAGGTTGGGAAGAACGGACCAAAAAGATAGGACCAACAGGCTCTGGGCCACTTCTACATATCCCACATAGGTAAAGAAGGAGTTAGAATGGGTGTTCACTATATAAGAATCTAATAAACTGTATATGAAATGTATATATTTTATGTAATTTATATATTATATTTTATAATAAAAAGTTTATTATAAACTTTTAAAAGTATATAGATTAAAAAACATCTATATACTTTTTAAAAGTTAACATTTAATCAAGACTTTAAAAAAATACCCTATATATTTATACACTCTTTTCTTCTTCTCCTTAGGGCTATTCCAACCTGGAGACAAGGAGTTTAGAAAATATGGGATCATGAAATTCTCCTTTAGTTGATGAGAATGTTAGCATATGGAGTTATAGGAGGAGAGAATGACCATGTCCTTAAAATTTATTAGCCTCTTCAGATTGATTATTGTGTTGCATGTGAATTGGCAGGTATTAAGTTCTACAACGCATTGTCATTAGTATTTCCTGTTTATCCTAAGAGGGTAATTAATATATGTTGGCCTATTGATGTAAAAGTTCTTTGAATAAGTTTATGTTAGAAACAGTATTTTATTTAAATATTTAAAACATTTGAAAGATTTTTTTTTTTTTGTCATGGCATGGAAAAATAAATTGAGACAATCATAGAGTGACATTTTTAAACCAAGATTTTGTACCATTTATAACTTGGAACTAAATTAACTTGAGTAACAGAAATTTAAAGTTTCTTCTTTTGAGTTATGAAATAAGTTAGAACTTTTTCTAAGTTTAACAAATTGGTAATTTGTCGGTTACTACATTTTTGTGTAACAAATATTTTGTATTTGTTTGAAGCATGCTTTGTTTTATAAGGAAAATATTTATTTTAAAAATACACCTCTCACCTCACATATATTCTGTTATTTGCATTACTGATATTACTGATACTGATATTGTCTTACTGGTCTCCTTTAGCTGTTCCCGTCTCCATTCAGCCTTCCTGGGGCCCACACTGTGGTTTATAAACTCTGTGTCCTTCACATCTTCTCAACTGATGCACTTTTCTTTGGTGCTTTGTTTGCCTCAAGATATGAAAGTTTTGTTTTGTAACAACATCAGAAGTAAGCTGACTTTAAAGGACTATGATATTTCTTAGTGATATTTAAAATGTTTTAAAATTGCTAGACTAATATATTTGGTCAAAAGAGTCAGTTTTAAAATTCCAAACTTTTATAAATGAAAACACAATTTAACTTCATTCAACTCAACTTTATGGAAAGAATTTTTTAAAATCTTAGTTCCTAACTTTAAGTAGTTCCCAGCTTAACACGAAAGGCATCATATACATGATAAATATAAGAAACTTCATTTCTTATAACTTTTATCTCAGAGTATTTTAATTATAATTTGATCATTTAGGTCAAATGATTTAGATACAAATTTACTAGGAGTAGCATTTAAAACCTTTTCTTATTTCACAGTTAATATTCAAAGTAGATGGCTTCCAGATTTTGGAAACGGAATTCTATTTATATAATTGTTGGTGCAAAAAGAGAATTAATATAAAACACTGTTACTCAGGAATGCCCATTTTATTTGTTGCGCTTGTTCTCCTTAACTTTTTTAAATGATTTGAGGTGGTTTAGAAATAAAATATAAAGAATAAAGCAAAAGAATTTAAAAACAGAATTGAATAACAAGATAGAGCAAAGTAAAGGTTTCTTATGCATTGCTTTCTAACGTGTTGCTTTTCTGTTGTACACAAATACAGCTTTCTGTTTCCTGTATTTAAGGTAAGCCTATTGTATTGGGTGAGGTGATTCTTACAGTTTTTGTTTAATTTTTTTTTTTAATAAAAGAAAGTATAGTATTTTGAAGAAACTTGTCCTTGTAGTTGTATCTGAAATAAATAAGGAATTTATCATATGGATCCTTTGCATGAAGGATATAAACATAATGATGTCTTCAGTTACAGGCTCATGGAAGAGATGTCAAATAAACATTTCTTATACTGGATTAAGAAATTGAGGAAAAAAAACACTAAAGGAAAAATGTTATAAAGCACCCATAATTCTACTACTATAAAGGTAACTACTTCTGAAAATATACCTACAGAATTTAAATAGCTAGTGTTAGAGTACATTTTAGATACTATACTATTATCACTTAGCATTACTTCACGTACATTTTTCTGTGTTCCTATATAATTCAAACATTATCATTGAATAACTAAATAACATTCAGTTTTATAGATACTCTGTCATTCCTATACCTTGAGGACATGTGCTCTACATTTTTAGCTAATGTGCAGTGACATTCTGTGTGAGGGGTTAGATTCTGTCATATGTATGTCAGAATTCTTGTGTGGTCAGAATCACCCATGAAAACGTGGGTAATTACTTACCTAGGAAGTGTATTCTGTCTCAGTGTGTCCACCATAGAAATATTTTCTCCTTTTTGATCATATTAATGGTTCTTGAGCTGAGAATCAGATGAAATATTTGGCTTCCCTCTAAGAGCCAGGTTGAATAGATTGTCTTTCTATTTGAGTTTTGAATAGCTTCAGCCATTTGGTGGTGTATATGTGCATATTAAAAAGCAGAGACATTACTTTGCCAACAAAGGTCCTTCTAGTCAAGGCTATGGTTTTTCTTTCCAGTAGTCATGTATGGATGTGAGAGTTGGACTATAAAAAAAGCTGAGTGCCAAAGAATTGATGCTTTTGAACTGTGGTGTTGGAGAAGACTCTTGAGAGTCCCTTGGACTGGATCCAACCAGTCCATCCTAAAGGAGATCAGTCCTGGGTGTTCATTGGAAGGACTGATGTTGAAGCTGAAACTCCAATACTTCGGCCACCTGATGCAAAGAGCTGACTCATTGGAAACGACCCTGATGCTGGGAAAGATTGAGGGCAGGAGGAGAAGGGGACGACAGAGGATGAGATGGTTGGATGGCATCACCAACTTGATGGACATGGGTCTGGGTGGACTCCGCGAGTTGGTAATGGACAGGGAGGCCTGGCGTGCTGCAGTTCATGGGGTCGCAAAGAGTCGGACACGACTGAGTGGCTGAACTGAACTGAACTGATGTGCAAGTGAGAAAAATCTTCATTGTAATAATGGAATGAAAGCTCCTCTAGACTGAGCATACCTATGGACAATGACTGTTGGCCTCCATATTTGTACAGAAGCACCAAAGACAGCCCTCTGCCCATACCTGGCAGTTTATTAATGCAGTATTTGTTAAAGACATGTAGGAATACCTTGGATAATTAGTAACTAGTACCTAACATTATGCAGGGTGCTTTGGATTGGTGAAAACTCCAGCCCACATGGTATGCTTTTTAAGAAATACATTTTCTAAGAAGGCTAACAAAATTATGCCCAAACTTCTATTAGCTGACTGTAAAAACCAAGTTCAGACCAGATCCTTGTTTGGATATTTTCCCCTAAGACTACCTCATAAACTTTTAAAGGGAAGACTGTATGGCTGAAGCAACTGAAATCCCTCTTTTTGAAGAAAATTAAAAAGAAGCTTATGCTATTTCATTTTCTAGCATATGCATACTTGGAGAACACCTTGTGTTTACTTGCTGTTGTAGATTGATTGCATTACTGATGCTGGATGACACACTGACGTAGAGTAAAATCTCTGGTCTCCTAAAGAAAATGATACCAACCCTCGTATGCAAATCAACAGTGGGGTGTGTGTGACGCAACCTTTGTATGCGAATCAACTGTGGGGTGGGGGTGTGTGCACACGCGCATGCACATGCAATTCCTGGTATTCTAGAGGACTAGAAACATCTCTTGTAGCATCGATAATGATTTAATCATCATTTCAGTTCAGTTCAGTCGCTCAGTCGTGTCTGACTCCTTGCGACCCCATGAACTGCAGCACACCAGGCCTCCCTGTCCATCACCAACTCCTGGAGTCCACCCAGACCCATGTCCAATGAGTCGATGATGCCATCGAACCATCTCATCCTCTGTCGTCCCCTTCTCCTCTTGCCCTCAATCTTTCCCAACATCACGGTCTTTTCCAATGAGTCAGCTCTTTGCATCAGGTGGCCGAAGTATTGGAGTTTCAGCTTCAACATCAGTCCTTCCAATGAACACCCAGGACTGATTGGTCTCTTTAAGGATGGACTGGTTGGATCTCCTTTTAGTCCAAGGGACTCTCAAGAGTCTTCTCCAACACCGCAGTTCAAAAGCATCAATTATTCAGTGCTCAACTTTCTTTATAGTCCAACTCTCACATCCATACATGACCACTGGAAAAACCATAGCCTTGTCTAGACGGACCTTTGTTGGCAAAGTAATGTCTCTGCTTTTAAATACGCTGTCTAGGTTGGTCATGACTTTCCTTTCAAGGAGTAAGTGTCTTTTAATTTCATTGCTGCAGTCACCATCTGCAGTGATTTTGGAGCCCAGAAAAATAAAGTCAGCCACTGTTTCCACTGTTTCCCCATCTATTTGCCATGAAGTGATGGGACTGGATGCCATGATCTTAGTTTTCTGAATGTTGAGCTTTAAGCCAACTTTTTCACTCTCCTCTTTCACCTTCATCAAGAGACTCTTTAGTTCTTCCTCACTTTCTACTATAAGGGTGGTGTCATCTGCATATCTGAGATTATTGATCTTTCTCCCTGCAATCTTGATTCCAGCTTGTGCTTTCTCCAGCCCAGCGTTTCTCATGATGTACTCTGCATATAAGTTAAATAAGCAGGGTGACAGTATACAGCCTTGACGTACTCCTTTTCCTATTTGGAACCAGTCTGTTGTTCCATGTCCAGTTCTAACTGTTGCCTCCTGACCTGCATATAGGTTTCTCAAGAGGCAGGTCAGGTGGTCTGGTATTCCCATCTCTTTCAGAATTTTTCACAGTTTATTGTGATCCACACAGTCAAAGGCTTTGGCATAGTAGTTATCTCCATATTAGTTTTGTAGATTTTCTCCATTCAGCTTAAAACTGTGGCCCTCCAAAAATGAATCTGTTGGCAACTTTACACTGACCTATTTTGCACATACCATCTTCATGTTGTTTAGGGCCCTAATTGTTTCAAAATGACCTTGAAGCTATTGATCTTGCACTTCTTCCCAAGTATCGAACGAAGATAAAAGTTCTGGAAGGATTTGTGGGCTGAATTTTACAGGGTTTGAGAGGTGTTTCCAAAGCTTTGGGCTTAAGAGTACAAAAGGGCAAGATCGTGCGCCACCAACGGGGAAATCTGAGGGAGAAATTGCCACGTAAGGCCTTCGGTTGACAGCGTGCGGTTTCAATCGTCAACTGGGGCGGGGGCGGACACACGCCCCCTCCCCACACTCGCCACCCGGGTGTCGCTTCTCGGGTTTCCTTCGAGTCGCGCGCCAACTGCTTCCGGGTCGCCGCGGACGTCGTTTCCGTAGCATTATGGCGACCACGGAGGATGAGCGGCCGGCGGGGAGCGGAGAGGGAGAGCGGTTGGATTTCCTGCGAGACCGGCACGTGCGGTTCTTCCAGCGCTGCCTCCAGGTTTTGCCTGAGCGCTACTCTTCGCTCGAGACCAGCAGGTAATTGGTAGCTCACAGTCAGCGGGGCCGACACGGGGCCCGGTCCCCCGAAAGGCACTGTGGAGCTTGACGGCTTAGTGGGCGCCCGCAGGGAGCTGCGCCGCCGCCCACTTGGCACTGCCTTCCTTCCTGGGCCGTGGTGCGGTCTCCATTGCTCCCGCGAGCTGCGGCCAGAGGGCTGGGACGAGCTGGAAGTCGCGGGCTTTTGGAATCTTCAGGTTCCGCCCTTTTTCACTTCCCAACCATTTTTTCGTATCAACTCTGAGCCGCTTCCGCGAGCCTGTGAGTCACTTGGCCTCACTTCTGAGTATAAAAAGAGCATTTGTCATCGTATTTTAACTGATAATCTCTCCAGTGCTTCCCTTGGCTCCGTAAGGTCATTTAATTTTTCATTGAATGCCTGTATGGCATTCAGTGTATAGAAGCGGCAGAGAGCCTCTAAGGTTTCTGTAGATAAGAACTTTCCAGGAATTATAAATCTAGTGATAGGATTGGCGTAAAAGGTGCAGTGTTGGTTGGAGCAGCCTTGTTAAAAGTTTTATCTGCAGTAGCATTGTGAGTTGAGGTCTGTGATCTAGCAGAGGCTAAGAAACTGAATTAGCCATTCAGAGTAGAAGTCTGGGGATGAGAAGAACGAGAGGAGGAGGCGATCTTTGCTCTGCATTGCTGTATTTCAAAGTGAGATTCCAGAGATGCCTTGGGCTGGCTTGGAAGAGAAAGCAGATTCGTTTTGCCCTGATCTCTTTCCGTATTTTCTTAACTGAGCCTGCGGTTAAGCGGTTTGACCGTTTCATGACTGGATCAGTTTTGGAAGTTTTTATAGATTACTTCTGCATACACGGTGAAGAAATAATATATAGGTGCTGGAGGACAGCTGAACAAGACATGCAGGCAGTTTCAGTAGGGCTTTCAATACGTTCTTAAACCAGATTTCCTTAGACTTTCCCTAGTCACCCTTTCCTAAAGAGACTACTTCCAGTCACCACCTGAAATTATATATTAATTGATTGATTTAAAATCTTTCACACAGGATTGTGGACTTAAGGAAGGCACAGTTTTTGTCTTTCTTGTTTACTTCTATAACACCTGGGCTGCTTCATCCAATTCGGTAGCCACATTTGGATATTTAAATTTGAATTAAATAAAATTTAAAACTCACCTCCTCTGTTTGCAGTAGCTACCGCATTTCAAGTGCTCAGTCACCACATTGGCCTATGGCTTTTGTTTGTATTTCAACATTTTGGTCATCTGAAAAAGTCCTACTGGACAGCATTGCACTAGATCCTTGACTAATCTGGCATAAAGGCAGGCAATAAGTGCATGATTTGTTGAGTAATCATTCTGAGTTTAGCCCTGAAATATGAGCAGATTTTTGCTAAAGAAAGAGTGAAATATCATTTATATTCCTTTTTCCATCCATGTGTATTGATTGTAGAGCCCGTGTCTTGACCTAAATTAAATTAGCATTTCCGAAACTCAGTCAATTGATTGTGATGGTATGGGATGTTTAGAAATACACTGGTAAATCACATTAATAGTTTATGATGATTAATTTTATGTGAATTTAAGGCATTTGAATAAAAACTATCATCTTGTTTTGACTATTAAACAGTTGAACTTTGCTTGTAGCTATCACAGGTCTGTGGTTGCTTTTTCAAAATGCCGCTATGTTTGATCTCTTTAAAATTCAGCAAGGACAAAACCATATAGACTTTGTTGGCAGTAAACTCCAATCTTCCTCATAGCATAAGTAAAGCAGCAAAAATTCTCTGATTAAACAATTAACAATTGATTTAATAACTATATAGCCTTAGAATTTACACCAGGCATTGTATATTAGATAACAGATATGTAATATCACTACACTAGTAAAGAAGTATTAATTATATTTTTTATGCTTCATGTTTGTTATCTAATCATTTTGGATTTTTTTAAATGGCTCAGCTAATAACCACATTTAAGATACTCTGTGCATACTGGATTTTGTAGTGATTTTTTAGAAGTTTTTCAGTATTTCTTGATTCCAACTTTTTACTTTCCTTAGTTCAGTATTAAATCCTTTTGTGGTGTATGTGATTCATAATTGACTTCAAGGTGCTTCTGAAAGAAGCGTCAACTTTTTAAGCAAAGGTGACCCGTCACAAAATTTTTACTTAAGATTAAACGTGTTAACTAAAGTTGTAACTGTTAGCTGGTATTGTAGTTAAATTCCACAAGCATTTATTGAGGGGCTGCCATGTGTCTGGGTATGAGGATATGGTGTAAAGCAGCAGTACCCAACCTATTTGGCACCAGGGACCAGATTCGTGGAAGATGATTTTCCTTGAACGGAGGGTGGGGGGGGGGGGGGCCGCGTTTCAGAGCAGGATTCAAGCACATTACATTTATTGTGCAATTTATTCCTATTAAGACATCAGCTTCAACTCACATCATCAGGCATTAGATCCTAGAGGTTGGGGACCCCCGGAAAGTAGTGATTCAGGTGTTCCTGTCCGTTTCTTTTTATTGATAGGTATGAAGCAGCTGACTCTTAGGGAGGCTACTATTGAACTAGACATTTAGACTCTTATTTTCTGACACATCATTTTAGCAAAATCATTTCTGTCTCTCTTTTAGCCTGACCAATAGAATTAATTTCATTTTTATTTTATTTTTCTAATAGTGGCTTTATGAAAATTAAAAGGTTCACCCAAGGTTTTTCTTCTATCTTCTGAAAAGTGGTAGTTACTAATTAACTCAGGTGAATATAGACCTTGGATTGTGAGCTTTATCAGTGAGCAGTTTTCTTTTCGTGAATAGTTTAGAGAGTTTTTTGGTTATATGATATTGTTGCCATTAGTGTTTGGGCAGTGGGCATTAGAATAGGCCTTTTTAAATTGAGAAGCAAAATATTGACCATTTTCTGTTATGTTATTTTTACAGACCCAGCTCTTCTAGAAGGGTTTAGACAATTTGTTTTGTCTCCAAGACATTTACAAAGTCTTTCTATCCTGGTGTCCTCCATATCCCCTGTGTATCCTGTGGTATAACCACTGAGCCACCCCCCAGCTGGCAACTTCTCTGTCCTTCGGCGCCTCCCTTATCTGAAGTATGTCACAGTCTGACAGCATGGCTCAGTGCTGACGGGGCGCTTATAAAAATGCGCACACCTGAGCCCCTCCCCAGATGTGCCGCATCGGACTTCCTGCTGGGCTTGGGAGCCTAGCAGCATGGTCAGCGCCCCAGGTGGCTGTCAGGCCCACCAAAATCTGAGCCAGTTCGCCTAACAGGAGAGACAGAAGTACAAGCAGGATTACAGCAGTGCTCCCCAACCCTAACGTGCATGTCACTCACCTGGGGTCTTGTTAAAAGGCAGGTTATCAGGGTGTAGGTCTGAGATGCTGCGGTTGCGGCAGGCTCCCACGCGAGGCTGAGGCTGCCAACCCCCCTTGCTGACCCCTGCTGCCCCACTCTGAGTTTGCTTGCACAAAGGCTGTGATCGTCACAGGGCATTCTGGAAGCACCTCTGTAATTCAACCCAAAGAGAGACTCAGAAAAGTCTAGTCTGAGGTTTCTTGGAAAAAAGTAACCCTGGAGCTAAATATTAAACGATGTGTTGAGTTTTCATGTAGGTGGGTGGATAATAGGCAAAAGGACAATAAAGACAGATAGGCGAGTGTTGAGCAGAGCATCATCAGTCAGTTCTCTTAATCGTGGTTCAAACGGTAAGGCCGGTGTGGTCAGAATTTAGTATGAAGGGGTAGGCGTGGACTTTGCCATATCAAGAAACTGGGAACTAAATATCACGTGGTGATGGGAAGTTGCCAAGCAGTGGGTCTTCCTGGTTAGATAAGCATTCCAGAGTGATCGTTAGACTTTAGATAGGTTATTCTCTTAAATGGGACAAGAGCAGAACCAGAGTCATCGTAGTGACTGAAGCTGTTGCAGTCACCCAGGCGCCAGTTCCTGGGACAGCAGAGATAGGAATAGGAAGGAGAGGATGGAGAAGGAGGCAGGAATCCCAGAATTCTGGGGTTGGAACTGCCGACTAGAGAACAAGGGCAGAAGGGGCAGGTTTAGAAGGGAATGAGATGATGTCTGTAGTAGCGCTCGCACTGTATAGCTGCTTAGTAATTTTCCCCGCAACTTTAACCTGCTTAAGTTTGGGATGTTTGTCTTCTTTAGTTTTGTCATACCACCAGTCTGTAGTGGTAAAGAATCTGCCTGCAATGCGGGAGACCTGGGCTCGATCCCTGAGTTGGGAAGATCCCCCTGGAGAAGGGAATGGCTACCCATTCCAGTATTCTGGCCTGGAGAATTTCATGGACTGTATATATAGTCCATGGAGTTGCAAAGAGTCAGACACGAATTTCACTTCTAGTCTGTAGTGGATATTCAGAGTAATCATTTCTTATTAAAAATTAGTTTGCAGGAGAAATTTTATTTTGCATGTTAAATAATTCCAAAAATGTGTGACTGTTCTTGAAAATATTTATAGACTGAGTCAGCTGTTTCAAGATATTATGAATGAAGAATAGGCTTAAAATTCTGGAAATCATGAATCTTTTCACTATTCATTCCAAATTATTTATTGGTGCTTCTATGTACTATGTATTTTAACTTCATGATTCCTTCTAATGTGTACTGTAAGACTCCATTTCCACTGTTAATTTTATGCAGCAGCTGTGCTTCTACTTCTTAATGTAACTATTTGTTATAATTTTATAACTCTTTTGCAATATGATTTTGGCCATGTTGTCGTCACTAATTTGTGTCTGACTCTTTTGTGATCCCATGGACTCCAGCCTGCTAGGCTCCTCTGTCCATGGGGTTTCCCAGGCAAGAACACTGGAATGGGTTGCCATTTCCTTCTCCAAGGGATCTTCCCAACCCAGGGATCAAACCCAAGTCTCCTGCACTGGCAGACAGGTTCTTTACCACTGAACCACCAGGAAAGCCCTGGTTTGGCCATAGCCCCACCTTAGATCTAGGCAGGAATGCAGTCTATTGTTGAAGATGCT